CGGCCGCGGCCGCGCAGCACCTCCAGAACCAGCAGGGACAGCACCAGTACCCCCAGCGTCAGCTCCAACTCCAGCAGCACCACCAGCTCCAGTACCTCCAGCAGCTCCAGCTCCAGCAGGACCACCAGCAGACACAGCCGCTCCGGCTCCAGTACCTCCAGTAGCACCCACTCCAGCAGCACCACCAGCTCCAGCTCCACCAGTAGCTCCAGCACCAGGAGCACCACCAGGCCCAGCAGCTCCAGTACCTCCAGTACGAGCACCTCCGGGACCCGTGGCTCCAGCACCCCCAGCAGAAGCAGAACCTCCAGTACCGGCTCCAGCAGCACCTCCAGCTCCAGAACCTCCAGCAGCAGCAGAACCTCCAGCACCGGCAGCATCTCCAGCTCCAGCAGCACGGCTCCAGCGGCGAGCAAACCACTCGCGCAGCTCCTGTGGAGAGGGAAGCTCCCGCCGGGACAAAGCACCCGAAGGACCGCCAGGTCCAGCACCGACAGGCTCCACACCCCCACTCCCAGCAGCCCCAGGCTCAGCACCCCCAGAAGCAGCACCCCCAGGCCCCGCACGCTCAGGCTCAGCACCCCCAGACCCAGCACCCCCAGGCTCCGCACGCTCAGGCTCAGCACCCCCAGACCCAGCACCCCCAGGCTCCGCACGCTCAGGCTCAGCACCCCCAGACGCACCAGAGTCAGCAGCTACCTCGACAGGCTCGACTGCATCTACCTGGGACACACCTGAGGGGGCAGGACCCTGAGGGGGGAGGGGGTCTACCGGGGGGGGACCGGGAGCGAGGAAGAGCGGCGGGGGGGGGAGGGGGGCAGTGCGGTAGGGGAAGAGACGGTAGTACGGAACCGACTCGTCAAACGTGACGTCCTGGGAGGACAAAACACGACGCGAGGTGGGGTGGTAAAACTGCCAACTAGGCGCGTCAGGGGGAAAGCCGAGGAAGACGCAAGGAACAGCACGGGAGGACAGCTTTTCCGCAGACAAGTCTCGGACGAAAGCTCGAGATCCCCAGACACGGAACGCAGACGCATCACCAACCTTCCCCGTCCACCGCAGAGTAGGGGAGGTCTCCGGCAGGGAGACCCAGGGCTGAAGGTTGATCTGATGCGCCGCGTACTGAACCGCGAACGGCCACAGAAAATGGGGAGCAGCCGCATGGATCATGGACGTACGAGCGACATCCATGACCATGCCAATGCGGCACTCAGCAATCCCATTTTGCTGTGGAGAGGCCGGAAGCGTGAACGTCTGGCGGATGCCCTCTGCACGACAGAAGGCTCGCAGAAGGTCGGAGGAAAACTCTCCGCCTCTGTCGGAGTGCAGACGCAGAACAGGAAAGTCCGAGCCGAAACGCTCTCTGAGCTGGAGACGAGCAACGCGGATCCAGTCGATCAACACCTCAGTGACCTCACCCTTGCTGCGCAAGGGGAAGACAGTGGTGTAACGCGAGTAGTCGTCAACCACCAGCAGGAAGTAACGCTCGTGACCCTGTCCACGGACGCGGGCTGGGCCCCACACGTCCATGTGAAGTGTCTGCAGTGGAGCCTCTGTGGGGGGGAACTCGGAGGATTGAGGAGCGGCGCGCTGCCGCCCCTCGACGCAGGGAACGCAGGTAGGGGCAGGCCCCGGGGGAAGGGGAGGGAGGGACCGGGGGAGACCAGAGACAAGGACACGGGAGGCCATGCCTCGGAGACGAGGCAAGGAGGGGTGACCAAGTCGGTGGTGCCAGAGGAGGGTCTGGTGGGACAGGAGGCGACACGAGCAGGGGGCAGACTCAGGACCTGACCGAGACGCTGCAGCAAACACCTGACCCGACGCAGCTACCTGACCAGACGCAGCAACCGGAGGAGACTCTGTGGTCAGTGTGTACAGGCTCGACCCCGGTCGACGGGTAAACGTGGCCAAGTGGCGGCCTGTCTGAGCACACGAGCAGTGGGTCACTTGCTGCCCTGCAGGAGTGAACTGGTCAACTCCGGCATCCTGAAGGTCAGCACCACTCACCAAGTTCGTGGAGAACTAGGGGAGGTAGAGACCAGACAGAGAGCCTGACGGGGCCGCCGGACACGGTAGGACAGTGGAGTAGCGAGCAAGGACAGGACCCCCAGAGGGGTCTGCCAGGGAGACCGCAACCGGCCGACTGAGCGGCGTAAGGGTGGTGCGGTCTCGAAAGAAGGAGCGGGAAGCACCCGAGTCGAGGGTGAAGGTGTGAAAGACCTGAGCCGACTCGGTACCTGAGAGAGCAGACTCACCAGCACCTAGAGGAGCAGACTCACGAGTACCTGGAGCAGCAGACTCACTAGCACCTAGAGCAGCAGCCTCAATACCAGGGTCAGGCGGAACATACACGTAACAGTCACCCTCAGCACTAATAGACACAGCATACATAGCAGCAAGAATAGCATCAAAGTCAAGATCAAAGATAGCTACCCCCGACCTGAGCAGATCATGCCAACGAGGGATCTCAGTGGCGTCCGGGAACTGGGCACACCAGGCGTCCGTCAGGCGACCGAAGCAGCGCTGGGTGGCGTGGAGGCCGCCACATTGCTCTCCAGTGCGGTCGCCGGTGCGCAGGACGTAGGTACAGGGACCAGTACCTCCAGACCCCTGGCGCCCCGCGTACCACTCACGAAGCTGCTGGGGTGAAGGGGTCTCACGAGAGCGCTGCTGCTGCTGGGGTCCCCGCTGTACAGCTCCGCCTCTGCCAGCTCCACCTCCGCCGCCGCCACCTCCGCCGCCCCCACCCCTCCCGCCACCGCCACCGCTGCCTCCACCTCCACCGCCGCCACCGAAGCCCCCACCTCTGCCACCACCCCCACCCCCACCCCCTCCGCCGCCTCCACCGCCACTACCGCCGCCCCCACCACCTCCTCCAGCTCCCTTGCCCCGCTTGCCCTTGCTGAAGCGGCGCCTCTCACTAGGAGCAGACGCAGCGCTGACCGACTCGGTGCCAACAAGGTCGACAGCAGCAGCAGAGGCAACAGAGGGCAAAAGAGGAACGGGGGAGCACCCCTCAAAGAAAGGGGTACGGGGGTCACCACGAGAGGCGCCTACAGCGGTAATACTAGTCTCGGCTGCAAGGAGGCACTCCTCGAGGAGGTCGACAGTGAGGGTGGTAGGGCAAAGAGAGAGGAAGTGGTCCCTGACCGAGCGGAGAGTGTCAGGGAGTCGAGTGACTAGGTAGTAGAGGGTGATGTACATGGGGGGGGGGGTTCTGGGCGCAGAACTCAGCAGGGAGCGCAGTGCGGTAGCGAGTGTCACTAGTGCGGAGGTGCGTAATGAGGTCAGTGACTGTGGCAAAGGCAGCGAGGTCAGGGAAAAGGTACGGTAGCATGAGGCGGCTAAGCGCAGCAGTGGCAGGGGAAGAGTAGCGTGCAACTACAGCGTCGTACAGAGTCTTAGCACTCTTGTACTGACTAAAGTGCGCGCGCTCAGTAGGCGGTAGGTGACTGCGCACAGCAAGGCGGGCAGCAGCATCGCGCGTGAGCCACTGCGAGCGAACGGTACTGTCAGCATCAGCAGCAGGGGCAGTAGAGGCGCCCGACGTAAGGTCAAACAGGGAGAGGCCATCTCTGCTATCGCACTGAAGGAAAAGTTGTAAGTCATCTAGCCAGACATCAAAGGCAACCGCTCGACCCTCAGCATCAAAGGTGAGAAGGGTAGGACTAGCCATGATAGGAGCAGCAGGAGACTAGCAGTGGCAGCAGCGCAACTGAGCTAGGCAGGACAGTGCGACTCGGCAGGGCGACTCGGCAGCGCAGTGCGGCTCGGCCGCGCGGCTCGGCCCGGCTAGGCTCTTACCAGGGGCAGAGCCGAGAGTTCGGGACGGGGTCGGGGCCGGAACAGGGCCGGGACAGGGTCGGGGCCGAGCAGGGTCCGGGACGGGGCAGCAACAGGGCCGAGACAGGGTCGGGGCCGGGGCAGGTCCGGGACAAAGCAGCAACGGGGCCGGGACAGGGTCGGGGCCGGGGCAGGTCCGGGACGGGGTCGGGGCCGCGTGTTCGCGTAGGGGCCGCGTCAGGGACAGGGCCGGGCCGTGAAGGGACGGCGTAGGGGCCGCGTCAGGTGCAGTAGAGGGCTGCGTCAGGGGCGGCGTAGGGGCCGCGACAGGGGCGGCGTAGGGGTCGCAACAGGGGCGGCGTAGGGGCCGCGTCAGGGGCCGCGTCAGGGGCCGCGTCAGGGGCCGCGTCAGGGGCGGCGTAGGGGCCGCGTCAGGGGCCGCGTCAGGGGCCTCGTCAGGGGCCGCGTCAGGGGCCGCGTTAGGGGCCGCGTCAAAGGCCGCGTCAGGGGCCGCGTCACGGGCCGCGTCAGGGGCGGCGTAGGGGCCGCGGTAGTGGCAGCGGAGGGGCCGCGTCAGGGGCCGCGTCAGGGGCAGCGTCAGGGGCCGCGTCAGGGGCCGCGTCAGGGGCCGCGTCAGGGGCCGCGTCAGGGGCGGCGTAGGGGCCGCGTCAGGGCCGCGTAGGGGCCGCGTCAGGGGCGACGTAGGGGGCGGGTAGGGGCCGCGTAGGGGCCGCGTAGGGGCCGCGTAGGGGTCGCGTAGGGGCCGCTAGGGGGGGCCGCTAAAAAAAAAAAAATTTAGGGCAGGGGCGCAACGCGCGTCGGGCAGCTAATTTTTTTTTTCGTTATGGTGGGCCCTTAGGAAGGAACGGTCCCATGTAGGAACCCGCTCTATACCATGTGAAGAAAGAAAACAGGAATGAATGAACTAGGAAAGTGTGAGATACAAATATAAACCTGTACCCCTTAGTGTCTACCCCACTACAGCCTACATAGGCTAAGGTATATACATCTGACACAAGGGAGTGGGGATGGGCAAGGGGAGGGGTGGGCAAGGGGTGAGTTGGTGGGTTTGTGGGAGGAAGAGATGCTGGCTTAGAACGTCGGTGGTTGGGGCAACAGAATCATGTGAGAAAAGAAGGTGGTTGTGAGAACGTCGGGAAAGTAGGTGGAACGATATGGGGCAACAGCAGCTGCAGCGGCAAAGGTATTGAAAGAGGCTAAGGCATGAAAGGGAACGCAGTAGCAATGGCAGCGGCAGGAGAAAGCACTGACAAGGATTTGAGTGCCTTGAGATTCGTGAGCTGCGAAGGCAGAGGGCTCCCCAGGTCGTTTCCCTCCTCCTCCTCGCGAGAACCAGAGAGGTCCCTGTGGGTGTGAGGAGGGAGAGAGGGAAAGAGAGTGAAGTATCTTAAGGCTCAAGAAAACATGGAAAACGGCAGCCTAACAGGCGGGGAAGTGTTATTTGACTGGGAAGTGAGGATCCCAAGCAGGCGAATGGGATTTGTGAGAGGGGGTGTGTGAGAGGTGCTTACAGGTAGGCGAGTTTGGAAAGACCTCCGAAGGTTGGTGGCACTTCTCCTGTGTAGAAGTTGTTGCTTAAGCCACTAGGAGGGATGAGGAAGGGAGAAGAGGGGAGAGGAAGGGAGAGGAGGGGAGAGGAAGGGAGAAGAGGGGAGAGGAAGGGAGAGGAGAGAAGAAGAGGTTTGTTGGTGAGGCGCATCAATCCTCCTTTCACGAGGCCTCCAAAGGACGGAGGCACTTCACCCGTGTAGAAGTTTTGCTCAGGCCACTGGAAAGGACGAGGAGGGGAGAGGAAGGGAGAGGAGGGGAGATGAGGGGAGAGGAGAGGGGAGATAAAGGGAGAGGAGGTTAGAGGAGGAAAGAGGAGGGGAGGGGATTACAGATAGGACTGGAAATGGATGGGATTGAGATGGGGCTGATGAGGATTTGTAGAGATAGGGAATGGTTTGGAGAAGGGAGATGGACTATGAATGAAAAGCAAGTGAGATGAGTGCATGGGGTCTGAGTGGTGGGGATGTGAGTGGTGGTGTTATCGCAATGTACAGAAAGGTGAGAGATTTGATTTTCCACAGAAAGGCGGGTACAGTCCCTCTGATGCGACAATCACTCAGGTCGCTGTGGGAAAACAACAGGGGCGTGGAGGGTGGGGTGGAGGCACTTTCCAGCCTGCAGGAGCAATTTGATTCTCTTGTGATTCTCCCCACAAAGGCGGGTACAGTATTTCCGATGCGACACCCGCTCACGTCGCTATGGGCATGGGGTGGAACGAAGGTGCGTTAAGGGCGGGCTAAGGAGGAGCAGCGGGTGGATCAATGTTTCTATCAGCGAGAGTTTCGACTTGGCTGGGAAAGGCTAGGTGGGCTTGCTTGCGTGCATGTGTTACTGTCACAAGTTGGGGGTGCGGTGCAGATTGGACGTACACGCGTGAGAGAGGGGTGGGCATACGGGTGTGTGAGTGAAAAGGGAGGGCGTACAGGCATAGAGAAGAGGGGTGCACGTACAGGTGCTTGCGTGCTGTCATGGCTGTGAGAGACCCAGGTAGCTTGCCGAGCTTTATGTTTTGGCTCAGGTCCCTGGGGGACGGGAGGCATGGGGAAATAGGGAGGAATGGGAGACAAGGAGACAAATGGGGAGGAATGGGAGACAAGGAGACAAATGGGGAGGAATGGGAGACAAATGGGGAGGAATGGGAGACAAATGGGGAGGAATGGGAGATAAATGGGGAGGAATGGGAGACAAATGGGGAGGAACGGTGAGGCAGGCAGGAGCTTAGTAGGGGGAAGCGAGACACGCGGCATGACACGGCACGGCACAGCACAGCATGGCATGGCATGGGGGCAGAAGCATACAGGAATCGCAGGTTGGGCAGTTTGGTGACGCCAGCAATGGATCCCCTGATGATGTTGTAGGGCAGCGATCTGGGGGAGAAGGGGGGAGGGCAGAGGGAAGGAGGGTAGATGGGGTTGGGGACGAAAGAGGGGGCAATGGGTGCCCCAATGAGGGGTAAAGGGATGGAGCCCATCAGGGGTCTAGGGCAGCGATCTGGGGAAGAGGGTGCCAGGTGGGAAGAATGGATGGATGGGCCTCCCAGTCATCTTCTCAAGGCAAATCACATCACCGCGGGCATCCCGCATGGTTATACGGCACTTACATTTTGGTGAGAGCAGTGAGCTTGGAAATGCCGGTGATGGGCCCCTCTGCTGCGGACACTGGTAGTGTCAGAATCCCAACCACTAGACCATTGGGATAAAAGGGCTTGTTAAGTAGCGGGTCAGTGCGCCCATAACCCCCCAGGCCAACATGCCTGTAACCCTTCCCTAGGATCAATCGAGGATCACCAGTGGACCTCTGACAACCCCCCGCACTGGGATGCCCGAAGTGCACACACTGGGATTCGAACCCGAGACCTCCGCTCCGATACCATGTCAGAATCCCAGTCACTAGACCATTGGGATAAAAGGTCTTGTTAAGTAGCGGGTCAGTGCGCCCATAACCCCCCAGGACAACGAGACTGTAACCCTTCCCTAGGATCAATCGGGGATCAACAGTGGACCTCTGACAGGCAGCGTTCTGACCATTAGGGCGATCAGGGAAGAGGGGGGAGAGGATGCATCAGCGGTAAGGGATAGAGTTTTCAGGTGCCTCAAAAGCTGACCACAGGCAACGAGGGAAGAGGGGGTTAAGGATGCAAAGCTGAGCCAGCACTGCACCAAGCCGGTTGTGAGGCCCCAATACATGCAATCGTTGACTGACGTTGACTCCGCCTGACTCGTTCGTGACTCGGTTTGATGGAATGTTGACACGGGTTGATTGATGTTGACTGGCCTTGACTTAGAACCTCACGACGCCGTTCGAGTCCCATCGGATGCCAAAGTAGGCAGAGAATTTCTTGGCCGGCCGGGGGCGCGGTCCATGTCTTATAGCCGGCACGTAATCAATGGCGTTGACTGGGCTTGACTTACAAGCTGACGACTCGGCCGCTCGAGTTGCATCCGACGCCCACGTAGGCGGAGCATTTCTTGGGCGCGCCGGCCGCGTTCCATGTTTTATAGCCGTCGAACCCGCTGCCCCATTGCTTCGCTAACTGGTGCAAGGCTGTGACTGTAACGGGGACAAAGGCAGGGCGGGGTTTGAGCGAGGACGTGGAGAGAGCGTGGAAGCGAGGGCGTGGAGAGAGCGTGGATATAGGGACAGGGAGGGTGAGGCAGGAGGATGGCAACGAGAAGGAGAGTAGGGAGAGTGAGGAGTGTCAGAATCCCAACCACAAGACCACTGGGATAAAAGGGCTTGTTAAGTAGCGGGTCAGTGCGCCCATAACCCCCCAGGACAACGAGACTGTAACCCTTCCCTAGGATCAATCGGGGATCACCAGTGGAACTCTGACAAGGAGACATGCCGGAAAGAGACACTATTCTAGAAACTTAAGAAAATCCCCAAAAGAGAATGTGAAGAGGGGGGGGTGTTGGAAGTGTGGGGGACGGGATTGCCCCCCACGCGAAAGACCTCCCTTGACTCAGACCAAGGGAGGGTTCGTTCTTGGAAGGTTGGGGTGACGGCGGATTGTCCGCGTCGCCACGCAACCGAACTTCCCCCGGTTGGGTCCGAATATTTGTGGGGGCGACACTTGGCAGCCCCACAAGCATGTACGAAAATAGCCAGAGTGCAAGCGAATGTTACGAACATTTCGCTACAGTCGCTATTGTTCCTTGTAACACACGATTGTCGGCGTGAAGAAACGAACCCGGCAAAGTCCGAAATTGTGAACGCGAATGTCGCGGAAATTGGACACGATCCTCGGTCCGAATTTTCGGCGAGTCACGCGCGGTTCGGTGTTACAATTGTGCTTGCATGTTTTAGCTATAAAATCAGAGAGCAAATTCCAGAGAGTTAACTTCAACTCGTCACTTGTACCCATCCTTGCATTATAAGCAATATCTCTTTCAATTCTCAGGCGATTACAGATATTCAAAGTGCCACCGATTCCTTGCTCCGAGCCCGTCAAAACGATCCTAGTCTTGGCTCCTAACTCACCAAGTGCATTCTGTGGCGTCACTAGGAGCAGGCCGGTTTCTTTCAGGGGGGAAAGAGAATCGTGGCTTGCAGACTTTTTGCGGCTGGATAATGACGTTGGGGGCTTGAGGCAGAATTTCCGCTCCCGCCGCCGCGGCGGCTACGGGGAGAGGAGAGCCGAGAGCAGCGGAAACCAAAGCAACGGCGATGGTACCGTAAGAGCGATCATGGCATCGCCAAAACTAATGAATTTGTTCCACCTTGTAGGAATAGCTGGAAAATATTTGGTCCTTGTGTTTTTTTATATATTTTTAAGAGGAAATTCAGAGTTCATATTTATGGATCCACAACTCCTCGTTAAAGGCGTTCATAACGAATTCTTGCGCCAGAGGACGATAAAAACAGAGGATGGAGCCGAGGTCTGTGCGATCACTAACAAGAGGGCAAATTTAGGTGAGTGGCAATTGAGCGACAGTGCTCGCCGTTCTAGATACAATATTAACATTATGATGGGCCACAATACAATATTATGTCTAGTATGATGGGCTTAAATTAATAGCAGATAATATATTTATGGCATTTGATATACATGGTTTTATATGGACCGGACATATGATAGAACTAATGGTAGTATATGCGCACTCATATTGGTTGTTGGGCGACCCTTTATCGCCTAAATATATGGTCGTGAATTATATGACCGTGCGTGATTGGACGCGCATTGCCAAAAAGGGCAAGAAGCATATTATCGACCAATCGTGCGCGGTCAATAATATGTTCGTGCATTTATGCTCTGGCGTTGCAGTTTATGATCGCTGATGCATTTGCCCACGCGCTCATTGGTCGCGCATTGGGCCGAAAATGACCGCGCATCTACTGTTGTGCGAACGAAGAATTTCGGGGGTACGAACCCTTGTAGGGTTATGTGCCAGGGAAAAAAAACACCTCGAAAATGCCCTGGCATGGCCACTCGAGCAATTATCACTGAATTGGATGGCCACGCGAGCAATTCGGGGACACGTGGGCAAGAGCGATGTCAGAATCCCAACCACTAGACCATTGGGATAAAAGGGCTTGTCAAGTAGCGGGTCAGTGCGCCCATAACCCCCCAGGCCAACATGCCTGTAACCCTTCCCTAGGATCAATCGGGGATCACCAGTGGACATTTGACACCCCCCCGCACTGGGATGCCCGAAGTGCACACACTGGGATTCGAACCCGAGACCTTTGCTCTGATACCATGTCAGAGTCCCAGTCACTAGACCACTGGGATAAAAGGGCTTGTTAAGTAGCGGGTCAGTGCGCCCATAACCCCCCAGGCCAACATGCCTGTAACCCTTCCCTAGGATCAATCGGGGATCAACAGTGGACCTCTGACAAGCGAATCACCAAACAAGGCACTGGAGCAATTCTCTCGACATTTTTGCTTCCTCACGCAATAGCTCATTGTCTCCAACAAGTCTAACGAAACCCGTTGTATTTCGTGAGCATTGCTTGTGACGTTCGGGAGAAATGATCATGCAATTATAGTTGACAGCACAATTATTGCACACACCTCTCGCTGAAAGCAGGGCCTATGTTTGGTTTTTGGCTACTCACGATTAGCAGTGTAGCCTTTTTCAAAACCCTTCCGAGCAGTGTGCCCTTTTTGGAAACACTGATGGATCAGTGTAACTTGAAGTTTTGAAAATTTTACCCAGAGGCATCAGTGTAGGTATATTTTTTACCCTGATTGTAATGTAGGCAGCTCAGTATGTGCTGGCAGCAACCAAGCTCGAGGCCCAAATTGGGCGCTGGTGGGTGGGGGTTGTGAACTCAAAAGTTGAGCGCAGTGGCTTGTCTGGTTTCGCTGCAACACTTATTTTTTCGCCGAGTCAGCAAGCTTCCCGGGGGGAACGTGGGTTTGGGGACCTCGAGTCCCAAATTTCCGAGTCAAGAAAGTTAAAGTTTTTGCAGTGAGTGCAGATTTGACCAATCAAGTTGCATCGCCTCTACAGTAGGTTGCAAGCAGACATGGAGTGACGCGGTGTCGGTTGTCAGTACTCACGTGCTGGCGTCGTAGTGCATCACTACGAAATTGAGTGTATCGTTACAAAATTTCTAGGAAACTTCGTCTCGATAAGTAGAGTTTCGAGGGGGGGGTGCCCTGTACGCCCTTAAGGGTAATCTTCGCTAAGGGAAAAATTACCCCAGAGCATCAGTGTGGCCTAAATCGTTTCACTGTCAAATCAGTGTAACACTAAGTTTCAAAAAATTGACCCAAACACATCAGTGTAGGCCCTAAATTTCACCCTTCTCATCAGTATAGCAATGTGATTTACACAGATAAAATAGGCCCTGGCTGAAAGGCTCGGAGCTTATAACATGAATGCACGATCTACATAAAGCTTTTACAGTAAAAAACACGATTTACATAAAGCTTATACAGTTAAAAAAAAAACAGAAACAAATTTGTCAAACTTATATGCTATAGTCTGTCTAGGCTGTAGTGGGGTAGTTCATATAGGGTACAACACTTTTAGGTTTCCTACTTGTACCCACCTGCTTCCTAGTTCAGTCATTCCTTCGTTCACTATTCTGACATGGTATTCTAAGCAGGTTCCCACGTGGGAACGTTTTTATTTTAGGGCCCACCACGATTTTTTTTTCCTGCCCTGCCCGAAGCGCGCCTCGCGCCTGCCTCACCTGCGCCGTCACGCGCCCTGCCCTAGTGCCGCCCGTCGCGGCCTTGCCTTCTCGGCCCATCGCGGCCCTGCCCTAACGGCCCGTCGCGGCCCCCTACCTTCGTGGCCCGTCACGGCCCCCTGCCTTCTCGGCCCGTCGCGGCCCTGCCCTAACGGCCCGTCGGGCCCTGCCCTACCGGCCCGTCGCGGCCCTGCCCTAACGGTCCGTCGCGGCCCGTCGCCGCCTGTCGCCGGCCCGTCGCCGCCCGTCGCTGGCCCATCACGACCCGTCGCCGCCCGTCGCGGCCCTGTCTTCGCCGCCAGTCGCGGCCCTGCCCTCGCCGCCAGT